AGAAACACCTAAACACTTGGGCAAGAGATAGTTCGATATATCTAAAAGAGGAATTGACATAAGGATATGGCAAAGACATAACCAACCCGCATGTTAAGCCTCCCCTTCCAATATGAATCATGGTACCAATCACGCACTATCCCCATGAGCAAGTGTGTGCTCACCATTTGATATTAGCCAAGGTAGTCCCTATGTTGGTATTAGGAGTGCTAAAGATAGGCACCCAAGGAGGTTGGCCATCCCTTTTAAAGGGGACGTTAAGCCTTTTGAAGGTCTATCTAAAGAATACATCAACATAGTCCAAGAGTACCAAACATATCAAGTCTATTTAGATTGTTCTCTTGTTAAATGAATATTAAGTTTCTCGGAGAGTGCTATCACCCATGACCTTGTTATTGAAGATGTTGCCTCATTACTCTTGTAGCCTTCTCAAATGTTGATTGGGCAAGGTTATCACATAGTGATTTTTGTATATTTTTGGGCCTCAACTTAAATTCTTGGCATTTACATAAACAAAATATTGTTTTCTCATGGAGTACTGAATCTAAGTACTATAGACACTGCTACAACTAAACTTATAAGGGCTCAATTTATTCTTTGTGAACTTAAATACTGTCGAACTACACCATTCATTCTTTGGTGTGACAATTTGGGTGCTACTTTTCTCACTTCTAATCCAAATTTTTTATGCTTTCACAAAGCACATATGGACTAAATTAAAATGGGTTCAAGCCAAATCATTACGTGTTCTTTTCATTCACTCTCAAGATCAAATCGTGTGCATTTTAATGAAGCCACTCTCAGCCACTAGCTTTTGCTTCCAAAGTTACAAGCTCACTATGGCTATGTTTGGTTTTAAGGAAAAAATAGGAAAAGGAAGGGAAAAGTAGAAAAACCTTTACAAACCTCTTATGGGTTGTCCTACCTTTCATTTCCTTTTCCTACTTTTTTCCTTCAAACCAAACACAGCCTATGGGTCTAACCCCATCGGTGGGGTGTTGAAGGATATGTTGGCCAAGCTTCACATGGCTAGATCGTTTCATGATGAGTTTCAATAAAAGATGTGTAATAGTGAACCATTGTGTATACTCATTTTATAATAATAGTCAGTTCTATAGTATAACCCATATTCAAATGTATACTTAAAATATACTGATAATATAATACGACACTCAGACTTATTGATTATCTTCTCAGATTATTCTCTTATTCTCTCTCAGTCTTTTTACACAATCCTTGTTGAAATATCAACTTTAAGTGTTGTCTCCTATTCTTCTTCCTTTTTCAATAATGAATCATTTCATAGTATAGTTCATTAGTTGACATTTTGTCAAATACTAATAGCTAAGAGAGAGAATTTGAATAAATTTGTGGATATGTATGCATAAGAATTATGTAGGCTGTATGCATGAGGACTGTGTAGGTTGAATTTAGCTTTGACAAACTCCAATGGATAGAGATATGCACCACATATAAAATATATTGTCCACAATAATCCAAAACTTAAAACCTTTGGGGCAAAAAGACGAAAAAAGTTAGGAGGGCTTTTTAGTGGAGTTCTAGTTGGCTCCATATAGACTCGTCCTACATGTGCCCCACACCACGTACATCTCACCATGCATTTGGAACATCTCTTGTATTTTCAAGTGGAGGTGTTCCCAATGCATGATTGGGATGTGTGGGGCACATATGGGGCATTTTGTGGGAAGCCAATGCATATTCTTTTATGTTGTGTAGGGGTGGATTCGAGCCGAGCCGAGCCGAATAGTACCAGGCTCGAGCTCAGCTTGAGATTATTCTATAAGGCTCGAGCTCGAGCTCGGCTTGAGTCAAAAGTTTATAAGTTCGAGCTCGGCTCGACTCAGTTCGTTTTATATTTTATAAAAATATTTATTACATATTTTATTATAAAAATAAAAAGTATATGTAAAAAAATTATTTTATATTTAAAAATTAAGAATTATAATAATTAATAATTATAATATTTTTATTATATATATATATATATTATTTTCTATAATTTTATTATATATATTATATATATTCGAGTCGGCTCGCGAGCCTCACAAGCCGAGCTCTAGTAGGCTCGAGCTCGACTCGTTTATTAATCGAGCCATTGAATTGGGCTCGAGCTCGGCTGAAACCAAGCCGAGCCGAGACAAGCTCGAGCAACTCGTGAAAATCTCGGCTCGTTGCCACCCCTAATGTTGTGTCACAAATGCTTTTGACAATAAATCAACAAAATTTATAATTATCCTATTTAATTACAAGGTTGAAGCGGTCCCAAAATTAGGAGCTATTTTGTGAAAAACTTTTAGTTTATTTTCTGTCAAATCAAACACAATCTTAGGTTAAAAATAAACACAACCATCATTTCTCCAAGGGAATATTTATTAAAAGATTTTCTATATAAGTAAATAGTTGTCTTTTTGAAAATGTTCTTGTACGTAGTAAGCTTGGCTTCAAATTTATTAGTAATTTTAGAGCAAACAATTTCAAACCATCAACTTATTCACCACTTTATTTGTTTCCTTTTAACCATGAGATATGATTTTGATGATATCAAGTATGAGTTGTAAGTTTTCTTTAATTTTTCTCCTTTAAAAACTAGCACTTTGATATCAGCCATTACATTAATTCTCGGGTTGGATTTAGATTGTATATGTTTGGTAGAGCTTTCACTTATTAACTACACATTTGTACTTGATTCGTCTTCAAAACCAAGAAAAATAATAATGTCAACTGTTCATGACAAGTAGGCGCCATTAGCGCCACATCAGCAGAACATTGTTAAAATGAAACTTTCCCCAACGGTAGCCGTACACATAAATCAATGCCAAATTTTGTGAGTATCTATGCATATGGATCACCATGATGGGCTAAATGTTGATTTGACAATGTCATGACAGTGTTTTGATAAACACCTATTACAAAATGTCTATGGAACAAAGCGCACACATTAAAAGGTGGAATTGGAAACAACAATTCCTGGAATCTCTTTATTCCATAGTTTGAGCGTGTTTTCTATTAACATGAATTGGGATGGATTCAATGCACATTTCCTATTTTCAAATGAAAAAACAAATATTTCATAGTGAAAAGGTCATTTAAGTAAATAGGCTGCAAACTATAAGAGTGTTTCAATAAAATTAAAATGATAAGTTTAAGTAAATCAATAAAACTATAGAGGGTGTTCTAATAAATGACCCTTATTTTTATTTCAAAATTTATCTTTTTGTTTGATTGCAGTACAAACCAAATAAATATAAGACCTGGAATAGAATAAAGTAAAACTCAAAACAAAATTTAACCAGAATTTGCATTATTTTGATTTGCACTCCCCTACGTTTGTACCAACACAAATAAAATTGCACTGCAACCAAACATAGATGTTTGTAACTATGATTTGTATTTGTACATGATATAAAATTTGTACTCTTTCTTGTCTAATTGCATTCATTGAAGGTGCAAATTCGCACTTTACTCTTACCTCAACTTTTCTCTCTCACACACACACACATACCTACACATGCATCATATAAATGGGAACCATATCATCCACCACACGTTATCACATTCAGTCCCTTGTTATCTTTTTGACTATCGGAATATTGATTGTGGATATTCTTTTACCCACATCCATGGCCACGTTATCACATTCAGTCCCTTGCTTATCTTTTTGACTAACGGAATATTGATTGTGGATATTCTTTTACCCACACCCATGGCCATGGTAACATCTCAAGTACATATAGAGAAAGCTCAAAAACAGCTTGGGCACATTTTTTCAAATTCCAAACAGTTAATGTTTTCCCCTCGTATTTCCATTTTCTTTCCAATTAAGGAGGGACCACTTTCATCTTATTTCTCATAAACAAATTAAATGAAAACAAAATCTAAAGCAAAACTAAACCACAATTTACGTTTAGCCTATTCACACTCTCATACATTTACACCTGTGCAAATAAAATTCATATGTTTTTAATTAATTCTAAAAATAACCTAAAACAAACCAAAATTTACACTAAATTTAAACGTAAAAAAAGCAAATTTTAGTATAATCGTGCCCTTAGTGTCTCTTTCATTTGATGCGAAAAGGTTGAGAAATGAAGGAAAATATAAGAAAACCTATACAAAATTTATAAAGATTTGCCTACATTTTCCTTCAAACCTAACAGCCTAGGGTAATTAGCCATCATCGGGCTCCATATAAATCCGCCGACAGCTGAAAGTCAATCCACGATCAAATGCCAAATAAGGTTTCCATCTTGTTATTCATGGATTGGCATCAACAATCTTAAAGGTGGGCCCCCGGTCCCACCCCGATTATTTCATGAAACAGGTGTCCATCAATCACGATGCTTTCCCTTATCATCTTGATCATTTGACTGTTGGTAAGGAAATCTTTTAATGGGTCCCACGATCCCATTAATCAACCGTTCTGGTTGACAAAAATAATCTAAACTATTGAAAACTTCTCTACTCTTATAACGGCCAGATTTGCTCCACCTCACATACTCTGAAATCATTGGATATCGAAATCTGACACTGCACGTCAGCGACAAATACGTGGCTAATTTCAGAAAAGCATTTAAAGTTTCTGCACGGACGGGGTAAAGCAGAGAGGGATTGGGAAGCAAAAGCAAACCCAAATCCACCTTTCCCTGCACGAGTCCGTTCAGTGTTCTCAGTCTTTCAGCGTTAGAGGGGGTGTGCTTCTAAGCTCGCAGCGCGCATCAGGAACACGTTAGAGATAACTGATGACTATTCAAGAGAGAAATTTGTTCATTGGCACACTAATCAAACTTTAGGCCCACCAATTTACCAAACTCCACTACTGAGAAAGTTCCCAAATGGTGTTAGAGATAGACGCGTCTGACCAAGTGACCGGTAGCGTAATGTGCACGGATACGCGCTATGTGCACTCTAGTAATGTGATGCTTTTCTTGCTATCTTACGCTGAAAACTGAATTTAGATTTTGCGATGGCCATTTTTTTTTGATTAAAATAGGAATGAAGAAGAATATTCTCTTTTCTCCTTAGTCTCTGCAAATTTACAGCGATATATTAGAACTTGAAAGCCCTAGAGGGCGAGCTTGAGCTTCTGTTAATGGCGGTTACAGAAGTTCTGCCCTGTCATTGAATGGTAAGTAGTCGAAGTAAAATTTTCTAGTTTGATGTTTTTTTTTTTTAATTATTAGTTTATTTAATTCTTGGATAGTCCGTTTTAAAGTCAGCTTTTCCTTAGTCTCTTTTTCTGTCACTCTCTTGGCCTCTCTCCCGAGATCTGGTTTCGATCGAAGAGAAGGATGAAAGTGTGGTTTATGTATTGCTGTAGGAGAGAGTAGGTAATTTGATGAATGTGAACTCTTTCTGATTAGTTCTTTTTTTTTTTTTTGCATTAATTTCTGGATGAACGCACTGAATCTATGACCTCGCATTTAGATCTTAGCATTTGCATGAATCTAATCATGTGAATTTTAGTGAATTTTACGGTTCTGTGTCACTTGGAACCTTGGGATGAGAATTATTTTGTGATACGAATGCATTTCTTTTGATTTTAGTTGGATTTAGAAATTTCGCGCTTTCGTGTTTGGGTTATTTAAGGAGAGGTACATGAGATTCTCTTTCTCTCTCTCTCTCTCTCTCTCTCTCTCTCTCGGCAAAAGAACTTAAGTATAAACAAAATGGAAAAATGATTGAGCTGCCGCAGAACGGATCATAACTTATTTTCTTATATCATGAATAGGATGCCTCCGAAGGTTAAGTGAAGTAGAAAGTAGAGGCTTGATGGGTGTCTATCAGTGCTCAATAGTCTGCATCCTCGTTTGCTTTCCCAGAAAATTAAAGAGATTCAATACATACCATGGATGGTTTTGAAATGAGTGGGAGGGTTTGATATATAGACCAAAGAGTTCTTCATTTTGATTAAATGAGATCAGAAGCTTTGGGTTTGCTTTAGATATCCACTTATCGAAAGTTTTTGTGATGGGAGGACTAGAGGAGCTCAGTATCTTTCTTTCCTAGTTGATTGAATTTAGAGTTATGCTGCAGTCCAGTTTTTATAGATGTAGATTCAAAGCTTTAACTTTTAATCCTTGATTCATTTCTTAGGTTTGTATGTTTAACCTTATCTGATAGGAAAATTTGTTCGTTTTCATTTTCTATTATTAGTTTTAGAATGTTTAATATGGAGGGAGATTTGATGGTTAAACTCATTTTCATTTATGGTAGGCACTAAAAGGGTTACTGGAGTTTCTAAAGTTTAGCCTCCTTCAACTCTAGGCCTGGTAGATTCATTAATAACATTCTACTTAATAAATGTGTTACTGTTTGAGTCCACCATGGAGAAAGGAAAAAATTTGGAAAGAAAATATAACTAGGAATTAAGTTAATGATTAAAAACTCTTGGGAGTTAAGGAGTCCATTTAATATGTATGTCAATTATCATTAATTTGCACCAATGCAGTTAACACTACAAATGAAAAAGTATAATTAATTTTGTTATTCTTTATGGTTATGAAAGGTCAATGCATGATTTTTATGATGGCAATGGCATTTTCAGGAAAGATGATCAGCACAATCTGAAACCAGAAAATTTACAACAATTGGAGGACATTTGATCTGGAAATAACACTTGATATCTCATATAGTTGCATGGGATTAACTTCCGCACTTCATTGTTCATAATAAGATCATACAAAATTCAACGACCAGGTTCAGGGGGTGACTTGCCCCAGGGCGGCGAGTATAACCCTTTCTCTGTAGCCCGAAGAGTGAATTCCTCTAATGCTGTTGCGATGGAGGGAGACTTGGAAGATGGCTCCATGCTTTCTTATCAAGATAGACCTAGGACCTTCCCTACAATGCGTAGTAAACCTTATAATCCATTGGTAAGATTTTGTCATTTGTTCTTCTGTACTTGTGATGTTTCTTATTTTATTGCAAAGGTTGCAAATAAAGAGTACATTTTCTTATTTGTTTTTAGCAAATTAGTTTTCTTTTTTTTCCCTTTATATACATCTATTGTGGAAAAGGACCTTTCCTTGATAATATGTCTTTGAAAAAGAACAAATTTAAACAAAATTGGGGTGGCTAATGTGTCAGGATTCATGTAGCCAACCCCATATAGTTGGGACAAGGCTTGGGTCATGATGGTACTTCCTCTGATTGCTTGCTTGCATCACTTTTGGGTCTCTTTTGAGATTTGATCTAAAGAAAGTTCATTAACAAAATAATTATCTAAGATGGTTGGTAGAAGTTGATTGATCTTAAGAGATTAATGAAACATTCATCACAACGACCTGAATTTGATGCTATGCTATCCGGATACAGCAAGGATATGAGTGGATGTGGTAGTGGATATGAAATTTACACTAAGATTTGAAGGATCTAATATGACATGATACCCTAGTACAGGTATCCAGGTAAGTAGGTAACATAGATTTGATGATTTGGACTTTTAAGTAGGGTGTTGACTAGGGCAGATCAAGGAAGAAAATATTGATATGCCTGATACCAACAATTGGGTAATGGTGTGTATCGATAAAACCATTAGTCTTGACCTTTATTTTTTATTTGTTTTAATTTTATCAGCATGGGGGGGGGGATGCCTTCTATCATCCCAAAGTTTGAAAAACCCCCAACCCTGTGTATATATTGGTCTATTCATTTGTCTCCATGACCACCAGTATGGATATGATATGCTTGATATGAGGCATATTGTCTCGATATTTGATCCTTGGGGCAGATGGGGGGGTCTTTCTAGAAGTTTTAGAATGGGGAGGGTTGATAGGGTGGTTACCACTGAAATTTGCAGATGGTACTTTTTTTTTTGAAGGTAAAAGTTATTATTATATTAAAGATAAAAACTAAAAGTATATAGAGCTGCACCTCTAAGGTAAAGAAGGCAAGCTCAAAAAATGAGACATTGAGAACATGCTCTACGATTCTATGAAGCCTGGCAGGGATAAACTAGGAACTGGGGGAGGGGTGGGGGCATAGCAGAGTGTGCACGAATTTTTGGGATGTCAAGTGGCTACAAGACTGCTTAGGTATTTTGGACTTCCATTGGGTGGGAGTTGTCTTTTTGGGATGCGGTAGTTGAGATTTTTTTTTTTCAAAAAGTTGGCTGCTTGGAAGAAGAATTGCATATTGGTAGGGTGGGAGTTGTCTTTTTTGGGGGTATAACTCTGCTAAATCTGTCTTCTGCTATCCTGTATATTTTCTTTCTGAAAAGATACACAACAGCATTCTACAAAAGCCTTTACAATTTTGTAGAGAGACTAGGCTGAATGGGCCTAGTGCACTATTGTCTTGTTATTAGTGTTCCCTAGTTGTTTTGTTTGATAATGGGCCTGTTAATCTTTTTTTTTTGTGTCTTTTAAGTATGTTGATGAGCCGGTCACCCACTTAAGGGTAGACTTGTAATTTGTTCAGTTTTAGTAAGATTAATAAAAGATATTAGGATGCCATGGAGGGAGGTGTTGAAGGTAGAAAAAATCATGAGGGATTTCTTATGGGAGCTTGGGGAAGGAACGAAGGATCATTTGATTAAATGGGAAGTTGTTTGTAAGAGTAAGGAACAAGGGGGATTGGGAATAGGTAACTTAGGAAAGAAGAATATAGCTTTGCTGGGTAAGTGGCTGTGGAGGTGGCCATTGGAGAGGGAGAGACTTTGGCATGAGGGATGGTGGAAAGCATTTATGGGTGAGCTGACAATGGTTGGGATTTAGGTGTATCTCACGGTAGGGCTGCAAGTCGGGCCGGGTTAGGTCGGATTGAGGCCAACCCTAGCTCAACCCTAAGTTCTAAACCCCCAATCTTAACCCTAACCCTAACCCAACCCGACTTTCAACCCGACCTACCCAACCCTAGCCCTAACCCTAACCCTAACTAAATACCTCCAACCCTAACCCAACCCAACCCAAGTTGGGCTCAGGTTGGGCCCAACCCAACCTTCTTCCCATTCCTTAAAATCTTGTAGAACTTCTTAATCTAAGATCTTAACTCAACTTTCACCACATATATTAATCCTATGTTTTATTAGTATTTGTTTGTTGATATTTTTATTGGTTCTCTAAGTGCAAAATTTAGAAAAAAAAAGTGTTTGAAATGACTATAGTTTATTGTGAGTTATGACTTATGATAGATCTTTTATAGGTAGCAAGCTATGGGTGGCAAGCAACAGAGAGGAAAAAAGAATAAAATATTCAAAAAACATAAAATATGTTATTAAGGTTTTAGTATTTCCAATTAGGATTAAGTGAAGTGATTATCTTAAAAGAAATAAATGATAGTATGTGGTGGGGGCTATACAACTATCATGCATCTAAACAAATCAATGTATGATATATATATATATATTTATTTATTTATCTATGATATGTACTATAGAGTCGGGTTCGGGTTAGGTCGGGTTACCCGAGGGGTCAACCCTAACCCAACCTGAAGTAAAGTCGGGTTCATAAATTTCAACCCCAACCCGAGCGTCAACCCATCCCAACCTAACCCGACCTTTTTGGGTTGGGTTCGGGCCAACTTGGCCCAAGTTGCAGTCTTATCTCACAGGCTACTTTGGCTTCTCCCTGAAAGCCATGCATGGTATTCTCCCCCAGTTCTTAAGCCTAATAAGGTATGACACTTGTATTTGAGATAGTTTTGTTTTGGAAGATCTTCGGTTGGCAACTGTACTCTCAAGGATCTATTTCCCTTTTTATACTCTATTTTAAAAATATATAATGCTTTGCTTCTTTCTCCCCCTCGATTGGTGTTAGTTGGGATTTAGGCTTGAGAAGAGGATTGAGGGACAATGAGTTTGATCAGGTTGCCTTACTCCTAAAAGTCTTTGATTCTTTTTCTTTTGGAGCCACCCATTCAGAAGATAGGTTTGGACCCCTAACCCTAAGGGCCTCTTCTCTTGTGCTTCTTTTTGTTCCTCCTTGTTCTTGGATACATCTTCCCCTGTCTTCTCCTATAATAAGTTTGGTTAAATCCTATTCCTCTCAAGGTTCAAAATATCAACACGTATCGGGAGCTTCCCAATACGCCTCTACAGAGTGTTTCGGGGTTTTGACCGGTTCAGGGGGTGGATGGACCTTAAACCGGCCCCTCTGAACTGGATTTGAAAAAAAAACTAAAAAAAAAACCACCAATATTGCTTGATATGTCTCTACTGGCGTATTGATATTTTGAACCTTGATTCCATCCAAGGTCGGACTTCGGAGCTCTTTGTTGGGAAGCTTGTCATGGAAAGTTAAACATTTTGGACAACCTACAAAAAAGAATACCCTTCCTTTGTCTTTCCCTTGGTGTATTATTTGCAAAGCTAATGGTGAGAGTTGCTTCCATTTGCTAATCTCTTGCCCTGTTTTTGCTGGTTTGTGGGAAAGGTTATTTGCCCTATTTGGTTGTAGGTGGTCTCTGCCTTTGTCAATCAGTAGTCTATTTGACCCTACAACCTTCAGATGGCCTAAAAGAAGGGATGGGATCTTGTGAAGATGTGCTAGGGCTTCTTTGGCGTGGACAATGTGGGAGGAGAGAAATGTTAGAATTTTCAATGATAAGGAGAGGAATGGGGAGGCTATCTGGTACTGCATTTTAAGTAGGGCTCTCCATTGGGCTAAAACTTTGGACATTTTCCCCTTTTTTCCTATGATGATATTTGGAGGAATTGGGGAGTTGCATCTAGGAGCTTGGGGAATTTGGGACCCTCAGGATCAGGGATTGGTGTTTTAAGAAATGCGGATGGGAGTATAGCTGCTTTATTTTCAGGTCCTATAGGTGTAGGGGACTGTATTCAAGTTGAGTGTCAAGCTGTTGTGCAAGGGGCACAACTTGATAGAGAGTTGAACATTGATAGACTGCTAATTGAAGTGGACTTGAAGCTGATAACTGGGTGACTAAGGAATCAGGATACTGTTGTTTAGATCTACAGGGAAGCTATGAAAAGATTTAAATGATTGACATCCAATATGATAGTAAGAATTCAGTGGGAAAGGAGATCGACTAATGGGATAGCTGATTGTTTAGCTAAGCAAGGGGTGCATAGGGATCATCTTTTCTGGGCTCACTTCTGCAATCCCGCTTCCTTATGGGAAGCTCATTGTATAAGTTGTTTCTGCTGAATTATTAATAATTTCTTTTCTATTCTTATAAAAAAACGAAATTGACCCAAGACAAACTCAACTACTTTAGGACTAAGATGAACTCATAGGTGACCCATATAAAAATTCAAATATAGATTCTAACTTCTAAAATAAATTGAATAACCAATTAATAATCCTATTAAAACTAACATATTTTAAAGACATTTGAAATTACTAAAAATGATAAATCACTATTTTACTTGCTATAAATGATAATTATGGAAGAGACAGGACGCGCTCAGAGGATAGGTGTGACTTGGAATGTCCAGTTTCTTCATGTTTGGAAGAGACTGTTCCTTCTAAAGTGGAGAAATTGGAAAGGGGGGAGACAATGCCCCGGAAAGAGATTGCTAGTATCGGTGCTGAGCCAGGAACTGAAGGCAATGATGGAGGAAAGGAAGACTTAGCTGATAATGATTCTTCTGGTGGACAGGTTGAAAGTCAGGACGAAGATGGCTTATCTTATGAGGAGGTTGAGATTGGAAGACTGGGTGTAGATCTGGGTTGAGGGAGCAAAATGGAAGAGAAGGAAAATTAGAATGATGGGATAATCAACAAGAAATTACACAATATGAGAAATCACATAGTTCATGTGACACAGAATTTTTCTAGACTGAAACTCAGCTCGGCAGGGGCAGGACCTACTAAAAAATATAAATGTGTGTACAGAAGGAAAAGAGTGAGGGTTAATGGGACATCTGGTGCTGATCATGGGGGGCAATAGTGCAAGATCAACTGCTGTCCCC